GTTCAGGATGTAGGGTTTAGGGTTTAGGGTTTAGGGGTTCAGGATGTAGGGTTTAGGATTTAGGGTTTAGGGTTTAGGGTTTAGGGATTTAGGGTGTAGGGTTTAGGGTTTAGGGGTTTTAGGGTTTTAGGATTCAGTGGGGCCTCAGGAGTTCAGGGTTTATAGCCCACCTAAGCCCCCAAAGGTAGGTAAAATAATGGTCCAAAACCTCTCAGAGGCGATTGTGTTCTACATACCTGTGGGGTCCAGATACTAATTCTTTGAGGCTGTATGTTGCGGTGGTCCAGTTGGATTGTTGGTGGATCTGCAGGCAAGCGTGCTCAAACCCTAAAGCCACAAACCCCTAAACCCTAAACCTCTTCTTTCTGGTTCCCCCTACTTTGCGATCACCAAACCAGAGTCGATAACAACAACTAAAGACAAATGTAGGGCTTAGGGTATAGGGTAGATCTGAAAACCCTAAACCCTAAACACTAAACCCTAAAGCCCTAACCCTACATCCCTAAACACTAAAGCCCTAAACCCTACATCCCTAAACCCTAAACCCTAAACCCTAAACCCTAAACCCTGAACCCTAAACCCTAAACCCTACATCCCGAAAACCCTACATCCCTAAACCCGAAACTCTACTAAAACCCAACCTAAAGCCCTAGAGCCCTAAACCCTAAACTTAAACTGCTTAGCTCCAGCACCGCAGCGCTCCTTAAGACTAGGGCTTAAGGTTTACCTTAACCTACCAGAACCTACTTTTTTGTAGGGTCCCTAAAAATCCCATATTAGGGTTTATAATAAGAACCTACAAAAAAAGTGGGTTCTGGTAGGTTAAGGTAGGGTTTAGGGGTTGGGTTCATAGGGTTTATAGGGTTCAGGGTTTAGGGCTTAGGGTTTAGGGTTTAGGGTTTAGGGCTTAGGGCTTATAGGGCTTATAGACTTTTTTGGCTTTATCGGGTGTAGGGTTTAGGGTTTAGGGTTCTAGGGTCTATAGGGACTCATCAGCCCAAGGCGCCGCTAAGGACAGAAGTCCAGGATGATCGTCCGACCTGACTTTGCATCAGAGAGTGGCCCCGGCCGAAGCGGTCAGAGGTTCCTATTCCCTCTATTCCCCACCGCTGAATCCCCTCCGCAGTGACCCCCACCCCTCAAAACCTGGCGGGGAGGTTCGTCTGTGTGAACCCATAAATGTCCCCCGTTCGCCCTGCTTTTCCTTTGTACACAATCTCCTCCCCTTTTCCGGTCCTCGTCCGCTCCGCCAACGGCGCCTGCAAGGCACCGGCAGTTTGTTGGCCCTCTTTGTTTGCCGCCGGGCCGAGGCGGACGACGCGAAGCGTTTGAAATTACATGACTTCGTGCGTCTGGTTGTGGAAATGGAGGGATTCGTGCTTCAGGAAATCCAGGGACAAAAGCAGCTCATTCGATATCCATGAGGAAACAATGGCAGGAGCCACTTCCGGGCTTGCACTGGTACTACATCCGCATTATAATACAGGTGATTTATCCAGCTCCTTATTGACCCTACACTACTGCAAGCGAATGTCGATTTATAACTGTATCGTCATGATGCAAAGAGTAAGCTAAGGGGCGAGTTAATGGTGCCGTACTGCCACAAGCGGGTAGCATCGGATTCTGTTCGCACTGTGCTACCTCGCCATGTGCGGATACTCGGTGTTTGCAAAACGCAGTCCGGCATTGTTACTGTGACTCACATCGGCATCAGCACGCAATGAATAGCTAAAGTCACGATTGTGCTCGAAGTCGATACTTGCTGTGTGGCAGCCATGCGGGCAATGCTGGCGATTTAGCGTCCGAGAATGATTCGTTCGAATCGCAATATTACTGTACAGCGTTCTACCAGGAACATATCAGTGTATAACACTGCCTGACTATGCTATGCAATGAACAGACAAGGACGAACTGGCACAAACATGTTCGGGATTTGGGAGCTACTGTAGGGGTTAAAGTTGCACGGAGCTGCTCGAAAGACACTATAAACGGCCTAAAAAATACAAATAATAGAGTAGAAAAGCATAGAATAGAATAGAATAGAATAGAATAGAATAGAATAGAATAGAATAGAATAGAATAGAATAGAATAGAATAGAATAGAATAGAATAGAAACAAATAGAATATTACACTACATAACCAAACAGAGCATAACACAACACAACATAATGTAACATAAGCTTGATAATTTATTCCGAGCCAAACCCGAAGCAAGGGAAATCCGGCATAGCAGTACAATATGCAGCCTAAACCCCAAGCCCAAAAGCCTGACACCTGAACCCAAGCCCTCTAAAATAGAAACCCACACACACACACACACACGCACACACACACACACACACACACACACGCACACATGCACGCACACATGCACGCACACTCACACACACACACACACTCACACACACACACACACACACGCACGAACGCACGAACGCACTCGCGCGCGCACATGCTGGCTTTCAAACCCAAAGTCAGAGAATATGCGGTTCCAGATGCCGAGACCGAGGAAAAACCGCGGTTTCGTCGGGAGTTGAAGACCTGTGGCGTCGCTCAGAGTTGGGGATTGGCAGTTTAGGGCTTAGGCTTTGGACTGTAAGGTTTGGGGTTTAGAGTTCAGGGTTTAAGGTTTAGGGCTTAGGGTTAAGCGTTAAGGGTTTTAGGATCCCAGAAACCGAAACCCTAAACCCTGCGAGACGCGAAGATTCAGGAGTCAGGGCTTCATGATGTTTACAACGCTCACGGCTAGGATTTGCGTGTAGGTGTAAGCCAAACAAGGTAGTTCTTCCCGCCCCAGCGAAGCACGCTAAGGTATTTGTTGATTTCCACCAAATAGAATTCTTGTAACCCTGCTAGTAACAACCCAGAAATCTTCAATTCAAGCAAGCTAAACTCAAATCGGCTAGGGCTCAGGGCTTCAACCCTAAACCCCCAAACCCAAATCCCAATCGTTCAAGGCTAGGGGGCCGTGTCTTAGCGCCGTGCAAAACCTGTGTCAGGCTTGCGGGCGTCAGGAGTTTCTCAGGCGTTTAAAGTTTCTTGCGGCTCCTTAGGGTTTTCCTATAGTCTCCATTGTAGTTCCTTTTCTTGGTTTAACCAGATATATACTCAGGAATTTATAAGGTATCCCCAAAAAGGAACTACAATGGAGACTATAGGTTTGTGGGTTTAGGGTAAAAGGGTTTCGGGTTTAGGGTTGAGGCTTGTTAAGGGTTTCTTGAGATTCTGGATGTCAGGTTTCAGGCTCAGAAGGAGCTCATTGGTGCGAAACGCTCGCTTCAGAGCCTTGAAGCTGCAAACGTAACCGGCGGATTCCATGACTCCATAAGCCTAAACCCTAACCCTAAAGCATATGATTGCTGTCTCCAAAGGTCCAAAGACCCATGCTAGCTAGGATGCGAAAATGCCGCAAGCGTGAGTACTCGAAATCGGTGGTTTGGTGACATTCGGAGACAGGTTTACCCATAGGCCCCATAGTAGTTCCTTTTTGGGGTTACCTTATAGGATTCTATATATGAATCCCCCAAAGGAACTACTTTAGGGCCTATGGGTAAGGTTACGACTCCCTAAGGTCTAAGGTGCCGGGCTGTTTAGCGTTCAGGGGGTTTTCCTGGAGATTAATTAGGGGCTCCTATACTTTACGGAGCTCTTAGGGTTTAGGGGGGTCCCTGCTATTCATCGTTAAGCTCATATTTCTAAAAAACACGGCTTGTCAAGATCAATTCCGTGCAGAGTCATCTGCTGTTCGGCCGGAGTTTTGGTGCCGCACCCAGCTCTGAACTATCTCTGATTGCCGAGGATGTGTCTTTTTGTTTAGTTTACTTCGTGGTAGGAGGGTTTAGGGTTTAGGGTTTAGGGGCTTAGGGATTTAGGGCTTAGGGTTTAGGGCTTCAATACCTCCACTTATTGGTATGGCTTCGGAGGCGGACATCACTGTTCCTGCTGCGGAGTTGGCCGAGTGCTTGTTCCAGCCACCGCGTTTCCCTCGTAGAGGATCTGGCGCCACTCGTCGAAAGGAGGCATGCTGCCACGGCAAGGCGAGCCCTAAACCCTAAACCCGAAACCCTAAAACCCTAAACCATACAGGAGTTTAGGCATATCTAGGGTGCAAGGCAATGCAAGGGGAGCTTGAAACTGAATTCTAAATTAATCCACCCGGCCTCTGCACTATAAGTATAATGAGGAACCCCCAAAATAGTGTAGGTATTATTAAAGCCCCTATAGTAGGCCGACGGCACCAGACCCCCATGGTCACCTGGAGCCGAAGTCCCCGAACCTCGAGCCCAGCTGAGCGAACACCCGACAGTTCGGCTCATGCTTGAAGAAAGAGGTATTGAGCCCTATAAACCCTAAACCCCAAATCCTAAACCCAAAATCCACACCCGAAACCCTAAACCCTGAACCCTAAATCCTAAACCCTAACCCCAACACTGAATCAGGGTTTCGGGTTTAGGGTTTGGCTTTTTAAGGGCTTAGGTTTTTGGGTTTTGCCCTTATGTTCGGAGTTTACCGTTTAGGGCTCAAGACCTGTATATAAATACAGAAAAGCATGTCTAAAGACCCAACTTAGCCCTAAAGGCCCCAACCGCAACCCTAAACCCGAATAGCACAGGGGCCTTGACCATTGAAATAAGGTTTTGGGGGGATATACTATACGATCCTTAGGAGTATTCTTGGTAATCCTTTAAGCCCCAAACTTCACCCCCCTAAATCCTGAACCATCAACCCAAGCTGTGTGGCCTTGTGCGTCGCCGATGCTGCAGCCAGGTGGGGGTTTGAGCCCTGCCTGACTCTGCAGGCCCTACCTAAAGGGTTTAGGGTTTAGGGTTTAAGGTCATACCCTACCCCTTTTTTAAGGTACCTAAGTTTATTGAGTAAGACTGATGTACCAAAAAGTAGGTACATAAAAAAAAGTAGGGTATGGCATTTTAGGTGCTGTTGATGATATAAATCCTGGGCATATAGGGGGGCTTAGGGTTTAGGGTTTAGGGGCTTTAAGGTCTAGGGTTTAGGGCTTAGGGGCTTGAGGGTCTAGGGTTTCGGCTTTAAGGCTTACTTGGAGGCCCTGGGGACTTAGTAAGTAGGTTGCAAGTAGCGTTATAAGTACCCTAAATGGAGTTACCGCCACTATCGTCCTACTTATAACCAAATTACTAAGTCCCCTGAACCTCCAAGTACTGTTGATGATATAAATGCTGCATTACCTTTCGGACCCTAAACTATGGCAATTCTGGTATGTTGCTTCTTATGGGTAATGCAGGATACATATCATCAACCGCAGGGTTTTGCGAGTAGGGTTATTAAGACGCTAGTTTGACAAGGGTGCGAAGCTTAAGCTTGAATTGAGCAATATGGGTGTTTCTGAAAGCAATGAGTACCTTATTTTGGGGTCCTTAGAATAAGGATCCGACTATTTAGGGCTCTATATCAGGATCCCCTATTTTCGGAAACCCCCATATACTTACAGCCCGCAGTACAGAACTCAGCCAATTTAGGCTGTCAGTTTCAAGGTCAAAGTTAAAGCTTGGGGCCCTAAACCCTAGACCCTAAACCCTAAACCAAAACCCTAAGCGACGGCTTCTGGGTGGCTAAAAGTTCAACGGACTTGGTGCGTTAGGGATGTAGGGTGTTGGGGCTTCATATAGGGTTTAGGGTTTAGGGTTTAGGGTTTAGGGTTTGATAGGAACATTCTGAGGTACAGGGTTCAAAGTTTAGGGCTGATAGGCCTAGGGTTTAGGGTCTAGGGTTTAGAGTTCCTAGGTGTAGGGTTGATGCTGTGTAGAAGACTTATCTCTGCGTAGTCCCAAAATTCATGGCTTACCGTCTCCCGGCAGCTAAACCTACTCCCCTAAACCGGAAACCCCGGAAATAGCTAGAGGATTTGGGTGCGTCTACCTGAGCCCCTCATCTGAACCCAAATCAGGAACCCAAAAATCAGAGGTCAACAACTCACAATCAAAAACCTTAAGCCATGAACTCCTAACTCCAGTCAGCACCATTCAGTAAATAACCCTGAGCCCTACGCCCGAAAAGCATCTACATCCCCTAAAGAAACTTGATCAAACCATCATGAAATCCACAATTCATAAGGAAAAGAGACGTTCGAAGCCCCCTTTAACCTGAAGCCTTAAACCCTCCACCCAAACAATCAAAGCGAAGCCCCAAGGCACCGCCGCCAGTACTCCCGCGGCTCGAAGTGCATAGCCTTGCGCAAGGCCGCCATTTTTAACCAAGGGGCCAAGATAGTAGTTAGGGTTTTGAGGCCTAAACCCCTAAACCCTAAACCCCTAAACCCCTAAACCCTAAATCTACAGAAGTGACATCGGGTTCGGGGCTGCGGGTCTGGTAGGAGGGGAACGGCTTCGGTAGACAAATGGGCAAATGGATGGACGGACACGATTTAGGGTTTAGGGTTTAGGGAATACATCAATCGATCGATAGGTAGGTAGGTAGGTAAGGTAAGG